GGGGTAAATAGGACACAATTTATTCCCAGGAAGCAGTGCAGACAGCTTGGCATGGCTACTAGGCCACTGCGCTTTCGGGGACCAAAGGATGAGAGGGATGGGGGTGTCTGGACCATTTCATGCCTAAGGAGGAGAGGGTATACTCTTAATTTTGGGCCGTTTGAATTTGCGACGGTACAGGGCATACATAACAAAATCCTGTTTCTAAAAATTTGCCCGAATGTTTCTCTGTGGCTCTTTGTGTTGTCATGTACGCATTTTTGTTCTCTGATTTCAGCTTTGAAAGTAAAACTTATGCTGAGAAGACCTTACACCCAGCTCGTGGCACAGGGAATCATGCCTCGTAAGTCAGCGTTTCGACTTTCAATTTCATGTGCTTGTACCTCTCACCTCAGACGTTCCCCAATGCCTCTACTTCCCGTCTATTTCAGCTCTCAAGACGCCGCCCGCTTTCCACGAGCAGCGCAAGCAGTTGGAGCGCGCCAAGACTGGCGACCTGCTCAAGGCAAAGATCCAGCAGAGGCCTGACCGGCAGGAGCTCGTCAGGCAACACATTCTGGAAGGTACGCGCGGTGCGACCGTCCTTGTGCGAATCCCGAACCACACCTTGTAACGAATGACACCAACATGCCCTCTCTTCCCTTTTCCAGCTGACATGGACCACGTGGACCCGTCGCTCGCTGAGCGGCAGCGCATGCTGAAGAAATGCAGGCTGGCTGACGCGCTCAACGACCAGCTGGCCCACCGGCCCGGGCCGCTCGAGCTCATCCAGAAGAACATCCTCCACGCAGATGAGACGATCGAGAGGGCCGTGAAAGGTAAGGCGGATAGCGCCCGGTGGCGTGTCGATTCGAGTCTCTCCGGCACTGACAAACTCATTAAATGATTCCCTGGACTCCGCAGAGGGCGTCATCCCCTTCAAGGCGACATGCGAGGGTCAAAAGACCAAGCCGGCCCACCCGCACCGCTACATCACCATGGACGAGGACTCGCAGAGCTCCGGCGAGAGCAGCGTGCTGTCGCCGCCCGGGCCGCCGCAGACGCCCTCTCTGCAGCCTGCGCCCTCGCCCGCCCCGGCGCCCTCGCTGCCCCCGGCGCCGTGCCCCGCGCCCACCGCGACTCCGGCGACCCCCGCCACCACCCTCCTGGTGCCGCGGAGGTTGTCCAGCGGCTCGGACGTGCTCGAGACGGCCGCTGCCAACGCGGGCATCGTGACCCTCGCCCTGTCCATCCCCAGCGGCGGCGGCGCGCCCCTCGTGGTGGCGTCCTCGGCCCCGGTGCTGCAGTCCCAGCAGCAGGCGCTGCAGCGGCCGCCCAGCTGCACCGCCCCTCTCCAGGTAGGCGTCAAGGACACAGACCGCACCTCGTCGTTCCACAGCGATGGTAGCTAAAACTGTACCCTCTGCTTTACTTTACAGACGTTGTGCTCGGCCATGGTTCACAGCCCCATGTCCCTGGGGTCGTCTACGTCCAGCCTAAGCCCGCTCAGCTCGCTCAGCTCCGTATCGTCCCCGCCGAGCTGCTCAGTGCCCAGCCCCATCACGCCCCGGCCCCCCGCGCTGTCGTCCCCAGCCCCTGGCTCCTCCGGCTCCGCCCCCGGCGCCACTCTGGGCTCGCACAGCGGTCCCAGCGCCCTGTCGGGCTTGCCTCTCCTGAGCCAGCAGGACGCGTTGCGAACAGGCGCGCCCGGCAAAGACAAGAATAGGAAAAAGTCAAAAAACAAGGCTCAGCCCAAAACAAGGACTATAAAATTCCACGAGTATAAGGTGAGTGGCGGCATGCAATGTGACAAAGACCTACAGTTGGCTTCTAGTCGTTGTATTTTGATCTGAAGTTTGTTTATTGATTTATATTGTTGCAAGAGTTAGCACATTGTTCCATTCGTTGCAGGGTCCTCCAAATGCACATAAAACTAGTTTGTTAAGTTCCTCACCAGTAGAAACGTCATATGAACTGTTGCTGCAACAGCAGCAGTTACTTCTTCAGTGCCAGCTAGACTGGTTGCATAAGGTATTTTTTTATTACCCATGCATGAATGTGATAATGAATAGCATACAATTATCTTCTTCATTGGTGTTTTACCTTACAGTATCCTCAGATTATCCTACCAGCTGCTCAAAAACCATCATCAAATATTGAAGGTTCAAACAATTCTCCTAGCAGTAGTGTAGGAACAAATGTTTCTGTTAGTCAGACGCCTACACCAGCAACGTCTGTGTCATCTGTCACCAGTAATGGCGCTCAATTAGGCCTGATCACTGTCACATCAAATAGTGCTGCAACAGGAGTTACTGTTAATTCTATTGGGAGCACAACAGGAACTTTACTTGGGGGTAAGTCAACCATCTTCAAACGGGTTGTTGCCAAAATAAGAAACTTGTACTCAGATTTTCATTGTTTTTCCAGTTGGCAGTGGCAGTGGAACACTAGTCTTAACTGCACAACCTAGTCCGAGCCCTGTACAAAGTGCTGTAGCTACAGTTGTGCCTGCTCCAACGCCACAAACCATTACCGTTACTTTACCAACTCAGCAGCAACAACAAGCTCAAGTCACCGTACAGCCTCCACTTCAAGTTACTCAAGCCATTGTTGAACCTTTTCAAACCTCATCTCCCTGCATTAATACAAGTCAGTCTTCAAGTCAATCAGCACCTCAAATGCAGACAACTTTTAAAGTTCTCGGGAAGCTAGAGGAGATGAAAGGTATGCACAATAACTTTTTTTTTTTTTTGCATTGCTTCTGTGTGTGGAATGAGTTAAACCATTCCAAATTCTACTTTTGTTTGGAATGATTGACATCCTTCTGTTTTTGTGTTAACAACTATCCTATCTCCTAAATCCAGGGCTCCGTAACTTATCACTTGACTGCCTTTAACATTTTTTTAAAAGTTAAAGTTATAACTTGTAACTTGTATTGTAGTCCTTTGGAAATAAGGTAGTTATTTGACTTGTCCAAATTTTCTTCACAGTATCCACGATTAATATCGGTCATAATTCCAAATCCATAACTTTTCCTTTTACTTAACTATGTGTTCTGTTACGTTTAGTAACTAACATTCGTTTGTATTATTCTAAGTTACGGAGCCCTGCCTGAATGTTGAATTATAAATGATAGTTGAAGTTGATGGACTATTAATTAACACAAGCACTCAAATCATTTATATTTTCAGATTTAAGTCTTAACAGTCTTTTGTTTGATGAAATAATGGTGCATCGTGTATTATTACCTTAAAATGCTTAGAGGATATTGCACACTACTATTATTTTTGTTTTATCCGAGTTTTCGCATACCATGCCACTTTTTTGACTCTCAAATTTATGACGTCTTACATCTTCGTCTACAACTTAAGAAACCATATTTGGTTTTATTTTCAGTGAGCGATTTAAAAATGGAACTCAAAAAGCGGAATCTTCCTGTGTCTGGGTCAAAACCTCAACTTATTGAGAGGATTCGCAATGCAGATGCAGCAGCAGCTGCTGCTGCTATGGACTTAAATGGTACCGTTTCAAATGCCTCATCAACTGAGGGCAGCCAAGCTGACCAGCCAATGGATATTCAAGTGGATGTCTCAATGGATACCACCCTCACATCTGCTGAGGATTCATTGTCTGGTAATAAAACGTTTTACATTAGAATATGTAGTAACACAGATTTTTTTTTTTTTTTAAATGGAGAGTTTGAAATATTGATTATTGTTTATTCTCATGCTCTTTAATTAGTAATGGGTTGCAATAACAATAATGTGGCAGTCAACATCTTGAGTTGTGTGGCTTAGTTTTCCTAACACACTACTTTTGTAATTCTTTTAACTAACAGTACCTTCTCTCATTAATTTTTTCAATACGGTATATTTCTTGTGTGTTGGCTTAAAATACTGTACTGTGTCATGAGAACCATCTTCTCTTTTATTTGTGCTCATACAGGTCTTCCTGCTGATATCCCGGGACAACAATCACCACCACAGCCTCCATCAGTAACAGCTGCTTCTACAAACTTGGACTCAGCAGCAAGTTCTATCAATACTCCACAAATGTCTCCTGTGTCGCCACCAGCTGCCCCCTCACCAAGTGGCTCACTTCATGACATGGACACAACTCCTGTTTCTCCTTCTCCTAGCCCTGTTACTCGTGAAGACTTGATCAGAGAACAACAGCGGCAAATAAAAGAACTTCAAAAACAAGTGAAACTTCTACAAAATCAGCAGCAGTTGGAAGCACTGCGGGCTACAGCAAACAACTCTCAGGTATGAGTTTTGTGTAGCACAGCACTTTCTCAATATACAGAATCTTATACTGACTTCTTTTTCCCTTTTCTCTATTTTCAGAAGACTGCTCCAAAACCATCAGCAGCCGCAACAATAATTTCAGCTAACACTTCTACTGGAATATCAGCCACACTTTTGGATCCAAGTAAAGCTGCTGTTAAACAACATTTACAAAATAAAATACAGCTTCAGCAGCAGCAACAGCTTCAAGTCCAACAACTACAACAGCAACTTCAGCAGCAGCAATTACTGCAGCAACAACAGCTAGCCTTTCATCAACAGGTAGTTACTGTATGACTTAGACCAGATCAACTTTGAGTACCCATGTCCATTTCTAACCTTTCAGTTTTATTTTGAAATTTTACAGCAGCAGGGCATTAATGCAAAGGCCAGTCTTGCTGCATTTTTGCAGCAACAAGCATCATCACCTTCAAACAATAGCAACAATAATAACAGCAATAATAATAACAATAACATTGTAAACAATAACAACAATAACAATAGTCTAAATAATTTAAACAATAATCTGATAAACAAGAAGCTCTCAAAAACATTAGTGGTTCAGCCACAGCCACAGATACAACAAGTACAACCTCAGCTACAGCAACTGCAACAACAGCAGCGGCAACAGCAGCAACAACAGCAGCAGCAGCAGCAGCAGCAGCAACAGCAGCAACAACAGCAGCAACAGCAACAGCAACAGCAACAACAGCAACAACAGCAACAACAGCAACAACAGCAACAGCAGCAGCAACAACAGCAACAACAACAGCAGCAACAGCAACAGCAGCAGCAACAGCAACAGGCTGCTGCTGCTGCTGCCATTGTGCTGAATCACATCAACTCGCAAAGTAAAAAAGGTTTATCAAGCCTGGCGAGCCTAGCCGGGATTACAGGAGTTAATTCCAACCACCAGAGGTATGTGTTTGTTTGAGGGAGATTTCATTTCTTGTTGTTTGTATCCCAAATTTGCAATTTTTATTTTCTATTTCAGAACCAACTCCCTTCCTAACTTTTTGGCATCAATGGTTCAGTTGACCCCTGCGACTGAGCCAAAACCAGCACCTTCGCACCAGCAACGTGCTAGTTCTGTCACACCTATGGCTGCAAACGAGGATGTCGATATGAAACCTGCCATTCTTCCAACTCATCGGCTAGTGTTAACAAGGACTACAACGGAACCGCACATTCTAACTTTGACAACAGCCCCAGCTGCTGCAAGTTCAGCTGCAAATGGCACTGCTACTATTATGGCTGCAACTAATGCGGTAGTTCCAGTCTCTTTAGCAGAAAGTTTGACATTCAGTGTCACACCTGGAAATGGTATTAAATTACCTCAGTATGAGGAAGTGGCTTCACTGTTGAAAAACATCAAACAGGTAAGCACAATTTGTCCTTCTGTTTTGTTTTTTTTTAAGCCCATCTGTATTTATATTGGCATGTTCAAAATCATTTACCTATCACAATTTTTTTTTATTTATCAGGAGCCAACTGAGAAGAGGAATGTTGGTCGTCAAAGTGTCAAAAGTCAGATAGTTGATGATGTTTTGGATATTTTGATAAAGAGTGGGGAATTACCTCCAAGTGCTGCTCAAGACCCAACCACACCAACCCCTGCTGGAACCAATGCAGGAGGAGGGGCTGCTGAAACCAGCAACACAAACCTCTGTGGGGCTTTCAACAATTCGCAAGATAATTCTGACATGTTCACCAATGTGTTCAGTCCTAGGAATTCTGGAAGTCCGGAACAGTCTTCCCCCCCAGTGCAGTGTGTTCCCTCATCCACGCCACCTCCCCCGCCTCCACCTCCACTTCCCCACACCTCTTTTGCTGTGACTTTGCCAACTGCATTGTCTCTCACGAGCACTGCGACTATTCTTCCAAATGAGAACTCTTTTAGTCTTTTTGGAGGAAGTAACAGTCTAGATTACATTCTCGGAACCAATGGTCCACCAGCAACTAGTGTAGATCTTAAGGAATTGGGACTCGACTTAGAGACATTGGATTCCATGGACTTTGGTCAACTAGATGCGGGAGCTTCTGCTGATGTGAAAATTGAACCCAGTGATATAAATATGGAAGCAGAATCTGATGACATGCAGTCATTGCCAGTGAAAAGAGAAGATCGGGAACTACAGGAACTACAAGAAAGACATCAACAACACCAGAACTTGCACCAGCATCAGCAGCTTGCAGAGCAATTACTTTCAGCTCCTTCAGAACTTATGGATATATGTGACATGTCTGAAATGGACTCTGATTGGCTAGATTCCCTAATGGCTCCTAACGAGCCATCAGCAGAGTCCACTGAACATAGCACTTTCTGTTCATCTTCACTTCTACCATCCTCTAGTAGTTCATCCTATATCCATATGAATGGTCACACTGATATTGACTCATATGACCCTCTCTTATCTAATAATCAGGATCCACTTGATATGTTCAACATGGACACAATGGATTCTGATTTTAAAATGCCTTCTGAGTTGGGCTTAACAATAAACTGGGACAAAGTTGACTTTGCAACATAGCTTCAACCAGTATGCCAGCATTTTATTGATCTCTATTCATTTGTCAATTTGGAGTAAACTCATTTCTATCTTTTGTTACATAATCATGTAACTCTCTTCTGAAGCCCAAGCTTATTAAAGCTTGTTAAAATAAAACAATTGAAGTCTGATTGATGCAATCAATCATTGATTCATTTCAATTCATACTTTAAGTACAATATTTTGTATATCAAAATTCCCCTTTAGAATGTGGTTCTTTTAGCACATTTAAAGTAGAATGGGAGCAAGTGCAGCATTTTCAAGTACACAAATTTGTAAAGCAAATCTGTGTGTATGATGGCTGTTAAATTAAGGCCAAACCTCTATTGTCAGTAATAATAATAATAAAAAGCCAGCATATGTACTTAGTGAAAATGTATATAAAAGAAATATTGGTATATATGATCTATGCTATGATTGTTGGAGGTGTTATGTTTGATAGTGCATGATTGGGATGTCTTGCGTGTTCCGCATGACGTGTGATAAATTGTGATGTATGTTTTCTTGTGTTGTGTTATTGTTAGGGCTGTGCAAAAAATAATCATTTGGATATGTCGGTAGTGCAACTGTTGCAGAACTTAAAGCTAGTTTTACATAAACTTGACTACCTTTCTCTACATAAATAAATTTGTATGTATGTTTGTGTGTATGTATGCATGTGTAAGTCAGTCTGCTGTTTAAAGGTTTTCAATGGAATTATGAATTATTTTGTCTAACAGTTTCTTTCTTTATTTAGAGTGTAATGATGTATTGAAGTAGTAGGCCGTTCGCAGTCAACAAAGGTATTTTTGGTATCAGTTGGTATTATGAAGTGTGCTCTAGTGAGTTATTTCAAGGACTACCTTGTGTTCCTCCTGAGAATGTTTTCAAGTTTATATAGCTGTTAAAACAGCACCTTAAAGTTTTCCTTGCAAATACCAACATCCTGTCTCAAGAGCTCAATGCAAATTCCCAGGAACACCTTTCAATTTTCCCATCTAATTTATTTAAAGAGTGCTTTGGTTAAATCTGTAAATATTTTTATACAATCAGAGGTTGTGCTCTTCAGCCACAATGAGTTTGCAGAGCTCTTATATGGCTTTGTGGCGTGAATGTGGCCTATTTAGCATTACTCTTTCATTACATAATTTTTGTGTGCTTGTGCCAAGAGCTGTGTCTTTGTGTATGAAGCTTTTTATTTAATTTTGCCATAGAGACAATGTTTCATATACCCAAATTTATATAGAGTATTATATATTTGATTCAAGCAGTTTCTAATGAAATGTATTTTTGTAAAGCTTTTTGAAGTTTTGCTAGTGAGTAACAGAAACAATTGTTACAAATATCAAATATCCTATCTCTTACAATTAAATGAAGAATTGTCTACACTTTCATCAATTTTTAGAGCAAAACAATAATTATTTACAAAAGAGAAAAACTAGCTTTTTCTAAAATTTAACAATTTTGACTGAACATCTTTGTCATGGCTTTTGATCTACTTAAAGCATATGATCCATTCTTTGTGACCTCATCATAAGTGAGTTGTTTTGATACTCACTCACCTTAAAATTTATGATGTACGAATCAAGACTGAGGAGGACTAGGGAAACCTCCCCAGTCTTATGATGGAACTGGGTTGATCATGAAAGAATTTTGTTCCCACAGTGATATTCCTTTGTCCCCTTGTCTTCCTTTCTCCCTTTCTTCCAAAGTCTCCAATCCTTTCATTGTATGTCAACAATCAAAACCTTACTCTATGTGTAATGAATATTTTGTGTTCCATTAGTCGAACTGCTTGCAGTTTTAATGCATTCTTGCCATTATTGCTCACTTTTTAATGTCAAAATTACATCATTCATAAAACTACTGCATGATAAAGAAGCAGTAATATTGAATTTGTTTCAATGCAAGACTCAGTACTGACATGCACTTGAAAGTTTTGCAAAATATTATTTTTCTTCATAAAATGAAGAGGAATGTTATTTTTAAACCTGTAGGGTTTCAATTCTAGGGTCTAGTACTGACAAAACCCTTACAAAAGACTGGAAAATGCCATATGAAGAGGAGGCTGTTTGTATTTGTTAATATTCCCTGCAGATTTTTTTCTTTTACTATTGAATGTACATGCTATTAAGCTAACAATTTGCTTGCTTTTATTTTTATTTTTGCGTAGTCTCATATATATTTAACATGTCATCCATTGACATGTCTTTCCTTTGTAATGTGATGTAATGTCTTGCGGAAGTGGTTTTGAAAGTTCAAAGCCTTTCTTCATATGACCAAATTTTGCTTGCAGCTATACACCTTTTTTCAATTCTTAAAAAAAATTGAGAGGTTTTCAATGTTGACAGCAAATTTGTCTCTGCTTTAAGATTTTGTTTGTAGGGTCTAAACCCAGCATGGATGGTACAAGGTCGCAAAGGAAACACCAATGAAAGCCAAGCCTATCAATTAACGTACCTGTTGAGTCAGTACTTGTGCTTTGGTGTTATGTCCAAATACTGGCCCAAGAAAGAACTGAATTCACTTGCCCTGTACTTTCCTTGCTCTCACTAACCCTATCGTTAAACTAGTAACTAGAGGCCAGTATCACCTGAGGTGTTCTTTACACTGGCTTCAGTAGCTCAATCAGTGAGAATTTATTGGCAGGTTTGTCTCAGTTTGTTGGTAATTCTCCAGATATGGTTTGTACCATAGATTCCTTGGGGTATTCCCCTTTTCTCTTCGTCAAAACAGGAAAGTTCCAGTAAAATCTTTGAGTTTATTTATCTTGTACTTTTTTTTAAGGTTATTTTAATTTTTAAGAGCCTTGTAAACTATCTTGTTATGTCTTTAATAGTGCTCCTCGGCTTGTTAATGACAAGACAACTAAAAGTCAATGATGACGATTAAAGCATTTTTATAAAATGCGTGACTTGATATTAGAAATAAAAGGTTAAAATATTTTTAAGTGTCACATTTATGTCATTTATAGCTTTTGCTGCAAATTGAAAGCTTTTTTTGACATTAAGTCGACTGGTCAGATGAACACAGATAAATGCAAAAACCAACTATTTTAACTTTCATTGTGTTGATACGGTTCCTTTCTGTGTTCGAACTCAATCTAACATTCCACAATGCAGAAATCTATATTAACAGCAGTATTGACAAAGCCCTGGATTCATTTTATCATACATTGAAGCTTTGAATAACATGTTGGTAGATAGCTCCTGTATTACTTTAGGCACATGTTAAACTCACAAAAAATAGGAAAGCTGTTGCGCTGTTTTCTTTCCCTTATTGTACAGTGTAAAACATAATCATTATTATACATTCCATTTATTTCATTCAAACCATTGTTTCCTCTGATATATCTTCTAAAGTCATTATTTTTTATTGTGCATAGATCAACAAGACCAAGAAAACTTTCAATGGGAAGCAACAGAGCAATTGCTCTTTGAGAATTGCATCTTCCATACATTTTAGCTAGAACTGCTGTTTGTGTCTGGAGACTGGAACTACCTACAATATCTATCTATCAAAGCTAACATTTAAAAAGTAGGAGAACTTTTGTAAGGCCATAGGATGACTGGCAAACTACTCCCAGCTTTGAGCTTTTACATACTGTTTATGTTGGGACCATCACTATCAACAATCTGTGTTCTTTCTGACCAATCAAAACTTGTGGCTTCAGGGGCAGGATACATGCAAACATACTTAATATACTGACTGTAAATACAATGTGTATTTAGGTATCTAAGAGTCAACATTCTTGGAAGTGTGTGATTTGTGTATTGAGCTCTACATACAAGTATGTAACCTGAGTCAAGTTACTATTACATTCTCTTTCTCCATTTTCTTCCGCTTTGCCTTTTCTCAGTAATATTGTATCCATATTTGAGCCTTAAGTGAACATTGAATGATGCTGTAGAATAAATGTAAAATGATTTGATGCCCTGTAATAAATATATAGATATATATGTATATATCTATTTATACATTTACGTATATATCATAAAAGCTATTTTGTTTGTATTTGCTGTCCTTCATGAACAGATCAAGAACACAACAACAACAGCAAAACAGCAGAGGATAAAAAACTAAAGACATATTTAAACTCAATCGAATTTCGGTCGTTTTTTGGTCTCATGCACCCCCACCCCCAGTCCATACCAACCCTCAGTCAAGACTCATCAGAGATTTTCTGAAAAGGCAGATGGCTAGCCTTAGAAGTGTTATCAAAACTTTTCAAATTTGCCAAGTTATAGTCACAGACTCTGCAACCAGGTAAGTTTCTATGAGTAGGGATGGTTTTTGATAGAACAGTGGATGCTCGGGCAGCTTGGAAATGAGTTACACTTCTTCAAAAATTGTTTAGACCACTTCGACGGCAACTCAATTTTTACGTTAGACAAATTTTCATTGGTATAGGTGAATGATGGTGAAGAATAAAAGTGTAAAGCACTGTCACTGTATTTATTGTCCTTTTGGATACAAGAGATTCACTTGTGAGATGCTGGAAATTTGTTAAGATTACAATAACTGTCAGATGTCTGTCAGATGTCAGTGTTAAAATACGACATTTTTGATTACATGTTACATATCTCTGATAGCACATGCTTGAAAAAAGCATTAAGGAGCTACATAGCGCTTTCTCTTAAGAAACTTAACCCTTGCATGGAGGAAGAAGGAACAATGCCTTTCCTTGTAGTATGCTCAAATTTTGCAGATCACAATGACAAAAAATTAAAAGGAAGGCTTTTAAAGCCAAATACATAATATTATCTTATAAGATATTTTCAGACAGATACAAGAAAAAATAATTGTGTGAGAGACCTGTTAACCCCCTTTTTTCAGTCAAACAGACTAGATTATTTGATTGTTTAGGAAGGAAGTTTATACCATGAATAGTGATGTTTTCTTTTTCCAATTAATAAAAAAAATGTCGCAAATTTAATTTACGTAATTTGAAATATCCTAAAATGATTAGAGAAACTTGATCACAAAAATAACAACGATGTCATCAAAGAATGTAAATGTAGCTAATCAATTAGCCTAAAAACAAAGATTGACTTCAATACTGATCCACATCCGATACAATTACACAAATTGGAATTAATAAACAACCACGCTAAATACGAGTACTGTAGGTAGTAGATTTTAACAGGTATCCGAACATAGAACACTAACTTCAGGCATGAATAATTAAAGCAAGATTATTCCTTACCAAAGTAAATGAGAAATGAGTTAACCTCAAGGCAAAGCCAAGGTTTTATGGTAGTTTGCAAGACTTATGGCCTGAGTTTTTAAAATCTATTTACATCTGATACTTAATAGCACAGAAACATGGTTGCAAAGCTGATATTAGATATAAAACCAGTTCCTAAGAGGAAATCTTCCACAGCATAGCAATGTCTTGTAGAATTGTGAATTAGGGATATTGGTTTGTACAATAAGTGGAAGGATAAGCAATAAAATGGTTCTTATGGTAATCTACATACATGATACAATACAATTAAACGCGGTCCCAATTTGACTGCACCAGTCACTCCAACCAAAGCAACACCATCTTAATTAATCACCCAGGTTTAGCTTGGTATTTTGATTCCTTGCATTTCTTTATCCTAATATCTTAGAGTGTTTTTGATGAATGTCACAGCTGTAACCTAAAGCTTAGAAAGAAAAAAAAACTTTCATAAAATCTAACATTTTGATTGGTGAGAAGATTTAAAAGGGTTTTAACAGCACATACTGATTTGCATTTTCTTTCAAACAAAAAATCACATGAGCTTAATCCAAGATAACAAACTGAAGCAATAAAATTTGAAACAAACTGACATTAACAAACAAAACATAGTTAACAATGGAAAGTAGAAAGAAAAGAAAAATGACATTAACAGTTAACATTCTACTGTGAATTATTTCAGCAGGCAGTCTCCACATCCTATATGAGTTAAGTACTGCTATGCACCTACAGCAGCATTTTCACAATAATACTGGCTACAATTTGACAGTCAATAAGACTTGAAGGTGAACTAATAGCACATACTCAAACCATTTAATAGAACTTACGGATGAAGTAGGTAGTATTACATACCTGTTTAAAAGACAAGGGGGGAATAAAAGCTTAGCATTGGAGCTTATTTAGATACAAAATAAATTACAGGCTTCAACACATCTTCATAGTTTTACACAAAACAATAGCACCAGATAATAAATTACAAAAACACATACAATAAAAAGTAGTTTACAAGATGAAAAATTATATCACAGATATCCAAAAAGTCATGATTCATGAACCCATGTTTTTCAACTGACTAGACTAGAATGCTGTGCCCACCAAGTTTAAGGATACATTTGGAGAGAGTAATCCAGCATCGATATGAGAATACAGACACTTTTGTCTTTCACATGATTCTAGCATCACATGTTTAACACAGTTACATGGACTGATACTGATTGAAATTATATCTTAAATTATCAAGAATAACATGACATGAGTGGAAGCTCGATGTGCATATCTGTGCATACAGAAAGCTATGTTCAGATCAGAGTCAAAAGTAAGCTTTCATAACATTTAAGCGGGTTTAATACTGTGGAGGAGGGAGAAAAGACCGCATGGCTTGAACAAGTAGGAGGGTGTCTTCCAGAGCTGAAAACAAAAAGGACACATGTTAGCAGGACGAAGTGACATGAGAAAACAGCAGGAAAATATTGTTTTAAACATACTTTTTTGCAACATTTCAGATTGTTTTCCATATGGTTTACACATGGATGGTCTGATACACATTTTCATGCGATGCAAATTTCTCATCACTTCTGCAAAAGCACGAACTATTTTCTCCTGCCCACCTGAAACATAAGTTGCAAATCTCTCCATGAATTTGAAAGACACTAGCTAGCGTTACTATACTGAATGAGAGAAATACCTTCCATGTTAGATCTTTTGTAAGAGCCTTGATCCTCATGTGAAGACCAAGCACCGTTGTGTAGGGCAAGCAGATCTTTGTTTGAACTTGAAAAGTTATCCAAATTGTCCAAATTTGACCGAAGGAAATCTGTTAGTTTTGGATCAAGCATTGTGGGGAAATGATCAAGTAACTTTTGCTGTTGTAAAAGCTTCTGTTGCTGCTGTTGCTGCTGTTGCTGCTGTTGAATTTGTTGCTGCTGTTGCTGAAGCTGTTGTAGCTGTAACTGAATTTGTTGCTGATGTAACTGTTGCTGTTGCTGAAGCTGCTGTTGCTGAAGTTGCTGTTGCTGCTGCTGTTGCTGTTGCTGTTGCAACTGCAACTGTTGTTGCTGTTGAAGATGTTGAAGTTGTTGTTGCTGTTTTTCTTGTTGTAGGTTGCGAACAGCTTTCTCTGCCAGGAGTTGCTGCTGCTGAGCCGCTACCGCTGCATTTAATAGTTGTGCTCGAGTAGGTGCAGGAGTATTACTTCTGCTAGGAATGTTTGTGGCTGCTGCAGCAGCTGCAGCAGCAGCAGCAGCCTTTGCTCTACTCAATTCAAGCATAGCATTGACAGTTTTTAAGTCTCCCAAGGACTGACTTCCTATATCTAAAGACATGTTGCTCTGAAAAATAAGAGCATGGCATGTAAAAGCAGGCTATTCACTTGACTGATTGATGACATTTTACTACAAGTTGAAATTGTACGTACTTGAGAAAACTCATTTGAAGATGAACTTTTGGAAAACGGTGCAGGAGTCCCTGTACTAGCTCGCAAAATGCTAGCAGCGTCAGCAAGTGACTGAGATACCTGGCCTACAGATAGTTAAGATAAGATTAACAAAACTTGAGGTAGAGCTTACAAAATTCTTGTCAAGCCTCAAGATGCTTTAGCAAGGGATCTAATAATTGTAAAATTTACCTCTTGAAGAAGACTTATAATCTTGATGTTGCCTCTGGGTAACAGGTAGAAGGTCTTTTAAACCCTTGGATGACTTATCTGAGAAATGGAAGATAAAAATCAATAAAGGAATATTAGACTTTCAAGTCACAGTGAAAGCATTTAGCAAACCATTATTATCCGGAATGGGATGATATGATGGCATTTGACTTTTGTAATATCGACACTCAGGGCAGTTTTGAACTACTTCGTAGATAAACTCCTTTTCCATACCAAAGTAGTCTCTTCCAATTGTGTAGGACTCCATAACCTGATGGGTAGACAAATCAAATGATTAAGATGAAATTTTTAGTAACAGTAATTATGAACATTATAAATTACATTTACTCACTGCTCTCACAGTTGCCTCGAGATTCAAATGCATTGAATGTGGCCTGTTCATATGTTTCAACATAACAGCATTGGCAAAATGTTCAAATGGTAAAATTAGTTTTCCATTTTCTCGATGCACCAATCGTCCCTGAGAATCAAGAGTTACTCTTGATGCCATCATTCTAAAAGAAGGAAGCAGAGGATATTATAGGTGAATAACATTCCAAATAGATTTAAAATGTGAATGTATAAAGTTATTACTGTAAATAAGCTGCTGCGTTTGGTATCATTGCAGCTTCTTTCATTTCAGCAAAGCACTGTAAAAGCTCCACTGAGTTCCATCCTTTGTGCTGCAGATACATTTGAAGAACTGTATACAGTTTCTCTGTGATGTACGTGGTACCAAAAGGAGTGCCTGTGGTCGATGCTTGACCACTTGAGGCTGAACCTGAGATGGACGTGGAGCTGCCAGCAAGAATTGCTGAGTTTACTCCTGATGCAGTAACTGATGAGCTGACACCTGTATTCAGCCCAGCCTCTTTTGCCATGATTGTCTTCATCATCTCAGCTAGGTCCATGGTTATTTCGTTTGATAAAGAATCTATAACAAAACCACAGTAATTGTCACCTAAAGGAATGCTTGAAGCAAACACAAGAAACTTATGACAGTCACACAACCTAGCAAATTGAAAAATAGCAATGAAAAGGTAAGAAATGTGGTAATTAATACTAAAACAATCCTAAAGTATTACATGTTAAATATTTTGTTAGAGAATTTAAGCAATGTTCAGGGTAACCATGGTAACGGCCACCCGCTCAGCCGGCCAACACCATCAATCAAATACACACGATAAGAAAGGCAATCCCCTCTTCATTGCAGAAAAAGTATTGTGTCAAGAGAATGCCGCGGCAGGATCATACACGAAAACAGATAAGAAATGTGACTTACCACGATTACAAATCGATGAAGTTTTACAGGCCTACGCCCCTGGCCTACGCCCCGCCGCACTTAACGGTGAGTTTTTGCATACCTTCTGAGAAACAAAACAAACCATTTACTATTAAATCACAAAGCTGCAGCAAAACTTGCCTCAGAGCGGCACAAGAATTTCCTCTGAGAGTTCCTTACCGCTAGAAAATGAGTTAAATTAAAGCCAAAGGCGCTGTTTGTGGGAACAAATTCGCATAAGTTTTTGTTTACTTCTTTTTTCTGCTACCAAGTCTCTGCCAGGTAGAAATGCTGTGCTGGATCCAGGAGACCGTGTGTTGTGCTTTGAAATAACGTTCATTCATTCAGTTAGTTCATTTATAGGTCAGGTCAAGAAAAAAACAAAAGTTATTTAACCAGTTTTATATTAAAGGATATCAACCAAGTAGTCCAAAACCCCAAAACACAGAAATGATAATAATAATAACTGTATAGTTTCTCATACATAACACTAGACTTGTAGCCTCACATTGTCTCTCATTCTCATTCAAACTCGCGCAAAAACGCGAACGAGACCACTTTACCAGTAGCAGAAAACAGACGAACGAACTTCAAAAACATGGCAGCACTGGCGTTTCGCGAATTGTCAAGTATTCGTTCATTTCTTGCTTTAAACGGTGAGTTTGGTTTCAAGGTGACTTAAAGCTAAGCCTTTTCTTTGGTTCCTGCTGTATCTATAATTTTTCTCTGCATGGAATGCTTTGCTAGTAGTATGTGACAAGGGTTAGCTCTAGGGGGACACAGTACATTTCTTTAAATTTTATTAAGAATCAGAGAAGATTTCGGAGGACGTCTTTTAGCTTTGCTTCTAATAGCTCTGCCTCAATGACATGAATGCGACTAAACGTTAGTAAAATGCATACATTTCTATGAATCCCTAACCTACAAGTCTGACCTTATGTGTTGCATAAGGGGCTAGACTTTAGTTGTTAAAGGATTTGATTCTCCCTGCTGCGCATCTAATACAATTCACTGATATTTAAATTTAGTTACTGGAAAATTTTACATGAGTTTATAACTTTAATCGTGGTATTTTCAAAAGTGCCTTCAGCAGATGATTTAAAATGCAAATAGTTAAACATTAGGCGATTGTAGTGTGTCACGCAACTCATTGTGTGTGTTACAGACTGAGTTTGCGTGCAGCTGGATTGTTTGCTTTTGTGGGCTGAGTGCCATCAGACTTTACCATGGAAAACTCCTCTGACCTGGTGCAAGTGATCTCCAAGTGCATTGAAAACTGTGAAACCAACAAGCTTTCCTCAATATTTGAAGATGCTGGAAACAATGAGTCTATTGCGTCAAACTGCTGGGACATCATTCCTATCTTATGTGCTAAATTGGATCAAGAGACTTATGATAAATTGCCGGCAATGTTTCAATCATGTGATAAACTCTTAAACAAAGTCGCTGAAATTTCTTGTCCTGAAGAGGCTCTATTGGAACTCATTGAGCAAGCTGATTGTCCAGACAACGATCTTCGTTTCCTAGCATTACTCAAGCCAATTCATCGTTTATTGATCCGCATGCCAGAGAAACGTGGCCGTTCCTTAGTGTGGTGCTTGAACTTAGTTGCAAGTCACATTTCAGCACTCCCTGAACCTAGCAGCTATACACTTGAGAACAGTGAAAGAGTTTTGTTAGATTTAGATCCAGCAACTTGCAGAGCAGTTGATGTATACAATTCCATCACACCTTTTTTTGAGCCATTCGTAGAAGAAGTGTCACTTTTCAAACCAGTAGTGTCTGTAGATAAACCTATTCTGGCTCAGCAGATTTATCAACGTTATGTCCTCTCTGCTTTCCTTATTCATTTGTTGGAAAAGCCACTTTTGTTGATGGATTTAGAATATGATGGTAAAACTAAAAGCAAGTCTCGCTGTGTTGCTGAGAAAATTGTTGAGTACTTTGACAATGTCATGCCTGATATAGTACCAATACTCTTTGAAAGGTGCTTTGGCAAACAAAAATTGTCCAATGATGATGGCTGGGATACAGATCCTGTGAAAATGTTCCAATTTGAAGAAAAAGTTCCTATCCTTGGTCTATCTAACTTATTATATTTAATTTTAGTGGAAGGCTTGTCTCGGAAGAGTATCCCATATGTCTACAGTCCCAATTATCTTTTCCCTGTAGCTCTTCATTTAAGTACAGAGCTTTTACTAGCTGGGCATGATTTGTCTGTGTGGAAGGGTCTGCAGCTTGCACACTCCTCAATCTCATTAGTGCCACAGTCAAGTATTTCCTACACAATGCTTGATTTGCCCATTCACAAAAATTTTTGTACCTCTCTTGAAAAAATTGTTGTTTATTGCAACATAGAAACATACCGCAAGAAAGGAATTAGGATCTTACAAAATTATGTCATGATTATGGACTTAAAAGCACGCTATCAAGTTTTCATTAACCTGTTTCCTCTTCTTGAACATTCAGGTGTGAAAGGAGTACTAGTAACTATGTTAAAAGATACAATTAGAATGACAATGAGTGATATTCACAATCCAACAACTAAACTGTACCGTAGTAAATCTTTGCTTAAGCTCATAGAGGTGTACTGTGTTGTACCTAACGGACCAGAGGTTGATCTAATGGACCATTCTGACCATATCATATCACTCCTAAACCTGTTGTGGTATTTGGCATTAGCCGATCGAAGTGATCTTTTAGGCTTATGGGAGCATGCTCCATATTTGGATAGGTATTTCATTCATCCATTGAAGGATGGTCTAAAATTGTCAAGGGCTCACTATGAACTGAAAATACATCAGTTAGAGGAAGAGAAGATGAATCAAACTCTTGGGAAAAAAATCAAAGGAGACATTGTTTCTGTCAGTGTTCAGGGGGAAACAGTGCCAGACCTATCATATGATGAAAAAAAGCAAATTCTTAATGTTGCTTTGAATAAATTTTCTATTATGGAGTCATTACTTTCAAGTATCAGAGAAGAAGTGGAAAGCAGATTTGCCAGTCGTCATTCTACTGATTCTTAGAATGTTTCCCATTTGGCTGTGTTTGACTCATTGCTTTATACTTAACAGCTGTCCCAATATTTTTGTTTCCAAATGCTTTTTATTCTATCAAATATTTCTGTACTCTGTGCTTAAAAATGTTTATATGTTGTAAAGTTATCTGCTCTCTTAACATTTGAGCCTTGTGCCATTGAAGGCAACCCATGCTACATTCATGCATGGCTTTTCATTAAAGCTTTTTAGACAGGAATTAGATAAGAATTCACAAATATGTTGTGATTGCACTAAAACACTAAGTTTGTTTGTTCACTCCCTAGATTATGACTTGATTTTACTTCCACCATGCAATTGAGATCTATAATAAATCAATGCCTCCTTATTGTGTGCTTTTCTAAAATTTCCTCCATTTTCTTAACCTTCTGATTGTGGATGCTCAGCAGGCTGTTAGAATGTTTGTTAATCAATTCCTTAATCTGACACCTAAATTATAATTAAACTTCTGTACAAGCAAATTCACTGAGCTTGTTACAAAATCCAGTTTTTCAAACTTCTGTGGGTCAAGTTTGTCTTGAATGTACTAACTATAGTCTTTTCTCTCCTATATTTTCTTACGCTTTCAATATATTAAGGGAACTTGCTCGCACTTGATATTGATGAGAAAAAAATTGATTTTAACTGTTAAAATCCATGACTTCACAGGTATCCGTACCTCATGGGCTGCTTCATTGCGCCAGTACCATCAAAATGATGCAACTTCTGGCCCAGAAGGCTCAACTGGTAACAACTCTCAAAATACCAACAAAGATACTGACGTAGAATTAAACAAAAATGAGAAAGAGTATGACAAGAAAATAGCCCGACAAATTTTAGCAGCGTCTCTTCCTTTTGTGCCTAAGAGTGGGTGGACTAAAACTGCTCTTAGTGAAGGTGAGCAAAATTTTACAAATGTGGTTGCAGTACTGTATGCGGTTAGTAATTTTTTTGATGTTCCATTTAGGAGCACAGACTTTGGGATACGCTGGCATCACCCATGGAATGTTCCCTCAAGGTGGGGTAGAGCTAGTGAATTATTTCTACATTGATTGCAATGAAAGGCTTGTTGAGAGACTTAAACAAGAGGCTGCAAGCCGTCCTGAAGGGTAACAGAATATTATTAATGTCTTGCTGGATAAATTTAGCTAGTTAATTTGGCTTATTCTTGGTGTCCCATAAATTTGGTTTTGTTTGCACAGGAAAGCACCAGATCCTGAACTAATAGTTTGTGATGCTGTTGAAGCAAGACTTCGTATGATACTACCCTACTTAGACAGATGGTCTGAAGCAATGGTACTTTTAGCTCTGCCCCGCAGTGTTCCAACATCACTTGCAAACCTCTTGACTTTAGTAGACGATATATGTTACTATGCTGGGGATCGATCTGTTGATGTAAGTAAAGTGTGTTTTATTATGATTGTTGCTTTTTTTTTCTTTCTGACCAGTTAATCAACCTTATTATTTGATTGCAGGTCCGATGGTACAGTCGCCGCTTAGGTTTAGCAACTGTCTACAAAATGACAGAGCTATATTTCATTCAAGATCAATCTGAGGACCACAAAGCAACATGGAAGTTTCTTAAGCAGCGAGTGGAGGAGGCAGTGCAACTCCAACACATCCTGCACGAGGCTGGGATAACACCAAAAATTGCCCTAGACACCATTTCTTCAACCTTTGATGCAGTAGGTTATCGAAGGATCACAAGAGTATTTGGGTAAGTAAAAAGTAAAATAGGAAAAACTAACAAAATTTCTTTTTCAGGCACGGAGTATATTACGGCTGAATAGATAATACACCTAGTGAATATTAATTTAATGTGAAGTCTGAGAAAACTGGACAGCACTTATAGAACAATTTCCACAACTTGCAGCATATAATTAACCAAAGAAGACAATATGGGAAATAAATCACAGTTCTGATAAAGGATTACTTATTTATTTTCCAGAGAACGTAAGCAGCTAATATAATTTCACATCATAGCTGGATAAGCAAACTGCCCTAACTAAACAGCAATACATTCACTGAGAAATGTCATAACTAAAACACAACTTAACAAATGTAAACTCCAGTTCATTTACTGATGAACTAGCATAAAAGCTCAAACAATTTGAGTATATCTCTTTCTTAAAAGAAACTTTACTGTAACAAATTATAAAACTAATGAACATTGTAGACAAATATGTAACAACTCAACTATCGAATAATACAGGCCAACTCCTAGGCTGAAAAAATCTCACCAATACACTGAAGTCAGCAAGCAAAGAAGAAACAATAAATCAGGCTTATTAAAAATATCATATCAAGTGAAATCACTATAATTGAAAAATATTTTGCTAAAAAATATTGTAGTGAACAAGTTTTGTTTAGTCAGGTTCCGTTGAACGCAATTTGTCTATACATACCAAAATAGGAGAGAAAACCTTTACTAAGTTGAGAGTGAATCATGAGTCAAGAGATTCAAGTCAATCAACAAAAAAATTACTCAATTAGATAACAGACTAGAATTAAGAAAAATAATATCCTAGTGTTTCTGGTCTCTGGCTGCAAGTTAAACCATTTTTCCAGAATAGAAATTTTATGAAAGAAAACAGTCTAGAGGAAAAAGAGTAAAGAAAGTTAAAAAGAAGTTGTAAAGTTGGGAGGGAAGTAATTCCTAGACAGTTAGGAAGACTTCAGATTTGTGGCATACTGGCAACACCTAATGACTAGCCACAACATTCATTGAAGTGTGTCAGTGAGGGTAGGTGGCGGACTTAGTTTGTTGGGGACACAAGTCATCCAAAACAAATGTTTTTTTGAAATTAAAAAAATAAAGCAGAATTTAAAATGCAAACAGAAAATACTGCTATTTGATTGCACTTATCAAATTTCATTTCATTTCACTGGCACACCAAGAATAATTAATGATCCAATTCCAAACTTACTCTAATCAAATATCACATACCTCTCATGGCCTTATAAAGGCAGAAGAATACATAATTATTTCAGACACCCTTCATGATCAAATTGGCACAGCAGCAAACAAATTTAACACCAAATAGAAAGAATCTATTAATTTTTTGACTAGTTATTAAATTGTGTGCCACACTGATCATATTAAACAAAACTTTTTAAAACAGTAACATGTTCATTAACTTTCTTGTGATAAAAATCCTTATCTAAATTACAAATATTAACACTTACATATCAGTGTGTGCAAGTCACATGGTGGTTTAGCAAGACATTTTTTATGATTAAAACTGTGACTGCTCAATATAGTCACATATACGAGGGGGCAGAGGTAAGTCTCTAATTTGATCACGTCGGATATGCTGCCGTATGACAAAGCGGCACAGGTACTGAAGAGAGCGGACATGTGTAATACGGGACACCGGTTTAGCAAGCCGCACAGGAAATGATGGGTGCCCAGGAGACCTTGGTCTTGAATAACAAAATACATTGGACTGAGAAGAATTAATGGAATGCTGAACCAACTCAGGAATGCTGTTAAAACCATTTTTTTCTGCTGAATAGAAACTAAATTTTCCAGCAGAGTGGGAAATCCTAGAATGAAATGTGCGTCCAGAGCATCGAAAACTTACACTCAGAAGGAAGTGATCATTTGAAGAATCTCTAACCTGAAAATAAAATCAGAAGAGATGCATTTTAGATTTTAAGGTTAATGTACTATGGTAAACCAAAATTAACTCAAACAATGAAAGGAAGAACTTACCAAAAATGATCCTTCTGGTTGATTTGCTAATTGTTTTTCCGCATCTTCTCGTGTTATGGGTCCCCAATACCACTCATACCGAGAGAGCTCTACTAAGTGTACTGAAAGACTTTGGTTCTTTTCATTAGAATCATTTTCAACAGCAGTCTCAGGTGTATCATCAGTAGAAGATTCATAGCTAGCCAGTGAAGAACGTCCACCATGTGAACTAGCATTAAAAGTGTTAGATTTTGTCATTTTACATCTTCTTGATCTGATAAGAGAAAATCTTCTTCGAAACCGACGTTTGATGTTGTTGAAAATTCCTGTCTTTTCGCCATCTTCACTGTCTTCCGGCTCCATTGCAGTTCTTCTTTGAATGAAAGATTTGAAGTCTCCAAGGTGCAACTTACTAAATTTGCACATTCCAATCTTAAATGCCATTCTGATGAAGCAAGCTACAACAAGAAATAAAAACAAACTAGTTAGACAAATATGATTTTGGATTTAAAAGTTGGATTGGTTCACTACTAGTCCTTCATGACCTATCCATCCATAATGACCCATCACACAATCATTGAGATAGCTTTTGTATTAATGAACAATATTTCTGAGATGTGGGATAACGTACACATGCAACCTAGATTGCACCAATTTAAATAAAAAATTTGTAAAAGATGATTGATATTGATGAGGCATAATGGGGTATGAAAGATTCTGTTGCCTGCCAATAAATTTTGCCTTTCACGTAAGAAGAAACTGTTTATGTTTATGATATTATCCTCTATGGTACACAAACCAGTATAAAATCTTTCAATCACCCAATCATTGAAAAAATTGGTGGCTATAATAGAATAAAAATTTGATAAATAATGTGTAAGAGCAACAACAAATTTCTTTACCAGTATAACATAATTCACCAATGTTGTCTATGCCTTGACACGAAAATTAACCTAACTCTGACAAGGATTGCCAAGTGAGCTTTGATTTGCCCTTTGTTTATAGCTAGTCGCATCATGATATGGATGAAAAATATTACACAACAAAATTTATAACTCTGAAATGTAGCAATTTTAACTTCAATTAACTTCAAAAATAATAAACGAAAAGGAAGTGTGGAAATGTGCGGTCGTTCAATTCAATAGTTGAGTTTGCGCTCTAACTTACCGGCGTCACGACTCGTCCTCCCTAAAAGGAAAGGAGGACGGCCGTTCGAGAATGTCTTGCTGTCATCGCAAGCATTCACGGCAACTCATTGGCATCACTACCATTCAAGCAATCGTCATCAAAACTTCATGATTCACAGTCCTGCACAGAGAGCAAGGCAAAGCACATCACATACACAACAAAAGTGAATCCGGGACCTAGAACGCGAGCTCCTCTCGCTTAGGCTTCGACCCCTCGCAAGACCTGCGAGAGCGCGCGATTTTCAAACCGTTCAATGTAACCCAACATAATATGCTTGAACGTTGCAACGAACGGAAAACCCTCCGTGATATAAACGCATCCCACAACTACAAAAAAGGATTACTTGCTCGCCCCAGCAATTTTATACGGTATGTGTGGTGAGGGATGGGATGTGATCAGCGGCGGGGTTCAAAGCACGGGTGCGTGGGTGCGCTGGGTAGTGGGTGCGCACCAGGGCACCCACGAATGGGTAATGTTCTAAACTTGTGGCGTTTCGTATGTGGCCCGTCGCCTCGACCCCTCAGCCTTCGGCCCTCGGCCACGGCCGGATCCAGGGGCGCCTATTGGCCGGGGGGTAAGGTAGTGTCGGGGAGCGTCAGTGAGTCGATGGGGTGAGGTGGGGAGGGGAGTCGAAAGGTAACAGCTGAGAGTTGGGCCTCGCATCGGGCCCGTGCCCGCCCGCCGCCGCCGCCCGCCCCCGCGCGCGGCCTATCGATCTACAATGTAGAAAGGGGCGGGC